GCTGTGCTCTCTCTAGCGCCAGCCTGAACTTTGTAAATGTGTATTTCTTACTTTTGTATTATACTTGGTGTGGGCCCTGCTCAGTCGCTGGGGCATGCTGCACTCTCTCTGTGAAATCTGTATCTCTTATTTGTTACATTAAACCTGTTCTCACTTGCTAATGTGACTCTGCTCTTGAATTCACCCCTGTGGTGGAATTAAGAACATGGGAAGAGGACGGGGTGGGTTGAGGCTGACTATCCGGCCTCCCCGAGACTCTCCTCCAGTTTTAATACCTTACACAATTGGGAAGGAACTGGGAAAGTGAAGGTCCACAGAGGGAGTTGGAGGGACAGAAAATGAGTCAGCAGCCACTGGANGCCGCTCCGGCTCCAGCGCGCTCGCTCCGAGCTCCGGGCTCCTGCCAAGCTAGCGCCGCCGTCGTCTCCCTCCGGCCGCCATCATGATCATCTACCGGGACCACATCAGCCATGATGAGATGTTCTCCGACATTTACAAGATCCGGGAGATAGCGGACGGGCTGTGCCTGGAAGTGGAGGGGAAGGTGAGTGTCGGCCGCCGCGCGGGGGAGGCAAGGCCGGGCAGGCTCGGGTTTCCGCCGTTCCCCTGCCCGAGGTTGTGCAATCCTCCCCGCCGCCTCCTGGCGGAGACGCTCTTTCCGGGCTCGGGTTTTTCTAGAAAAGTGGAGGCGGAGCTGAGCCTGGAAATAGGTCCGCCGCCTGGGCGCCCATCCTCCCTGCGGGCTGTCCGGGTCATGTTGTTTCCGGCTTGGGAACTCCGGGCCCGTCGTCAACGTTTTCCCTATCCCTAATCAACATGTGGCAACGCGACAGCCCATAACTGGAAACAACTTCTAATTGATTGTTAATGACCCCATTTTCGTTGAGGTCAACAGTTAGCTCTTGTTGAGTCAAGCCGTTTCAGGAAATCGACGGTCGTGTTTTTTCCCAAAACGATGCTTTTGTGGTATTCAACAAGAACCAAGAACGTTTGGTGGAAAGATGGTAGATGCATGAACTGCTGGTGTAGAAGGTGTTTTGGTTGTGTTTTTGTCTTTACAACGAAACTGCTTTTTCTTTATGCAGATGGTCAGTAGGACAGAGGGTAACATTGATGACTCGCTCATTGGTGGAAATGCCTCCGCTGAAGGGCCCGAGGGCGAAGGTACTGAAAGCACAGTAATCACTGGTGTTGATATTGTCATGAACCATCACTTGCAGGAAACTAGCTTCACGAAAGAAGCCTACAAGAAGTACATCAAAGATTACATGAAATCAATCAAAAGGAAACTTGAAGAACAGAGGCCAGAAAGAGTAAAACCTTTTATGACAGGGGCTGCAGAACAAATGAAGCACATCCTCGCTAATTTCAAAAACTACCAATTCTTTATTGGTGAAAACATGAATCCAGATGGCATGGTTGCTCTGCTGGACTACCGTGAGG